AGTGATAATATATTAATCAAAAATACCAGGAAAATTCAATTTCAGCTTCTGTTGCTGCAAAGTTCTGCACCAGGGAACTTTGGAGGGAAAAAAGGGTTATTTTGCTATTAATGCTACTGATCAAAGTTAAACATCATTTCCTCTGGAAAGGGCAAACCAACTAAACAAGTATGTGGGAAGATAATTAGTTAATCTGCTGGCTTTGGGTGGATCCATATCAGTCTGCCTCTAATCACAGATGCAAAGCAGCCTTGAGACTTTTTTGATGCTTTGATTGTAGGGATTGAAAGTCTTCCTGTTTAGAGAAGCAGCTCATTTAGATAAGCTACTTTTCCCAGCTTCTACACATCACTAGTAATGGAATGTTTTTTTATAATTCCTAACTTTGAAGACTCAGACTTCTATTTTGATGTCAGTGAAATCTTAGGCTCCTAAGCACAGGTAAACTTCACCTGTTGGAGTTTGGTCTGTGTGACACAGTGCTGTGTGTGCATAGTGCTTAATGCATAATCCAGGCATTTGCTTTATGCAGAGGTTACTGTGACACATCATGTGGCCATTAAGAGGCTTCTTTATGTAGAATATGAGCAGGAAGACTACTCACCTTCAACATTTCTACAGCTCACTAAGCATCTTCCATGGAGAAAAACTGCTCCAAGTTTGCTCACCTGACATGCTATAAATAAGAAACTCTGCTGGGTTTATTCCTCTGTTCCAGTCTAATACTGACTTTGTGACAAGAGGCCCCAGAGTGGAGATTTTTGTAATGAGAAAGTTGCAAATGAGTAATTTTGGTAGGAAGGTAGGAAGACAGTTTTAAAATTTCAGATTGGTAACTTGGTGATATTGCTGTAGTGTTAGCAGTTAATCCATGCTCAAGGCAGTTTTAGAAGTCAATTTTTAAGCTCCTTGGAAATGACACATCAGCTGAACACTTGTTGAATGATAGTATCAAGAAAACAACCTCCTGGGTCCAGTGGGTATTGTGTCAAATACTGTTAGAACAGACTTTAGGACTGTGATTTTTGATTTTATTTATGAAGAACCTAATCTTGCTCAATTCCGTGCTCTAGGTTACATCGCTGGATTTACAGACTCTGAAGTGAGCAGTAGATCAGACCTCTATGACGTGTATGTGAATTTGGCAGACAGTGAAATTACAGTTTCACCTGTAGTAAAAGGTTGGTTGCTGTTTATATTTTGGATTTAGAGGCATTTTATTCCAGAGTTGACAGTAATTGCTCAACCTTCCTGTAGGTCAAACAATCTTGATCCTTCTCCCATCCAGATTTTGAAAAGTCAGTATGTAAATCTCTGTCTTCATTTTATTGCCACCCTGGAAGACTGGTTAAAGTTGGAATTTGAAAAGCTGTGCTTTGTTTTCCAACAAATGCACAACTGAGATTTCTTAACATCCATATTAGACATGGAAGAGACTTCCAGCTGAATGGAGAGGTATTACATGAATTTTTAGAAACACTTATCACTAAATACTTGACGACTGGGCATTATTTGAAAGAAATCCTTGTGTGTTGCTTATCATTTTGCTGCTCCTTATCACTGTTTTGGGCCGCTTCAGAGGTACTGGCTGTTGATAGAAGATTATTGCCTTTACCAACAGATTACAAATGGCAGTCATGAAAAGATTCCTCAGTTTGGTGTGTTATTCACATTCATTTCTAGGTGTCACAAAAAAGGTGATTTTATGTGTGGTTTGG